ATTTTCCAAAGTATCAGAGTGCAAGATGAGAAACAATGGATAGAAACTAATCAAGGAGAGAAACAACCTGGAATTAAGGAGAAACTTCTTAGCAGTGAGGATAATTAACTAGTGGAACAGCTTGCCTTCAAAAGTTGTGGGTGCTTCATCACTGGGGGTTTTTTAAGAAGAGACTGGAGAGCCATTTGTCTGAAATGGTATAGGGTCTCTTGCTTGAGCAGGGGGCTGGACTAGGTGACCTCCAAGGTCCCTTCCAATTTATTCTGATTGATTGAAATCCCCCCCCACCAGCCCATCAGTTTCCAAGAGACCGCAGCATTGCAAACTAAACTGTTTGAAATTGATTTTCTTAATAACAGTATTTAAATTGTGACTGAGATCTTCCTCCTGCTTGAGAATGGACAGAAAAGGCCTTTGCTGATACGACATATAAGACATGTGATCCCACAGATACAAACAGTGTTTTTTTTTCTGTTAGGGATTTCCCATCCTGAACCCTACCATTGTTCACAATCTTGTAACGTTCTATTTATTTTGCTCCCATTTCAACCTTACCCTAACAGCACTTAGGACAGCTACCAACAATAACATTGCAGTTCAGTTGATTATGTGTCATCAAGTCATTTTTGACTCCTAGCAACCACACAGATAGAGTTTCTCCATGGCGATCTATCCTTCACCTGGACTTTTGGCTCTTCCAACTGTGCACTTAGTGTCACTGTAACGGAGGCCATCCACTGGGGATTTCTGGGAGTTGAACTCCAAGCATTTTAAAAGTTGATAAGGTTGAGAAGATCCATGCTATACTAACAGTGCTGTCCCCTTAAAATGCTTTCCTGATCTGCAAGTCGTCTTGTCTGATGCTTTCCTAATCCAAGCCTAACAGATTTCCTTTCTCTTTTGCTTCCCTTTATGGAAGATATCTCGACTTTCTATCCCGTACTGCTGTGTATATTCAGCTTTAAACTCCAGCTGTCAGAATCTATACAGAGGGAATACCAGTTGAGGCAGGCAGACCTGAGCTTTCTGGCTCTGTGTGAGTGAGGTAGATATTTCCCCTGTTGAAAGTTTGGATTCCTTCTAACCTCTGCTGGTTTTTTGCCAACAAGAGAAAATTAAAATTTCAATAGAAATGAGAAACTGTTTGTTTCTCCTTTGCACAAACCAGGCCTCTTCAGTGAGATTGAAGCTTGCCTGTCCTAACACTTGGGGGCAAGATGGACACCCTCTCCATCATCATCTCACACCTATCCCAACATTACTTTTCCAAAAAGCAACTGGACTTTCTTGGTTTCTTTTTTCCTTGAAAACATTTTGCTTCTCATCCAAGAAGCTTCTTCGGTTCTAACTGAATGTGGAAAATGGAAGGATTTATCTTCTTTGCAGTCATTTAGTCATTAGCATTCTGTGGATTGGTCATTAGTGCTCTGCTTTCAATAAAGTCCAGCTGCCTTTTGGAAAAGCACTGTTGGGGCAACCATGATTTGAATGAATCTCCATAGGCTCCTCACGTCTATGTGACTAGAGAGGATGGGAGTTTATTTCAATGCATATGAAAAGTAGAGGCCAGGCAAAGGATCTAGTTCTCGGCTTGCCTACAAGGATCCTTGCTGAGTAACTACACTTAGAGGAAGGGTATCAAACTTAAGGGCCAGAGGCCAGATCCGGGATGCTAAGTGGGATGCTTAGATCTGCCCCGCAGGGCTACCCTGGAAACAGCAAAGGACTCTGCCAGAGAAACGGAGCTCAGGAGGGCTGTGCACAGCCCTCCCAGGCCCTTTTCGGCCATGATGCCCTTCTGCAGCTCTCTGCCAGTGAAAATGGAGCTCTGTTTTCATGGCAGAGGACTGCAGGAGGCTGTTGCAGCCAAAAATGGGCTGGGGAGAGGACACTTGTAGCCCATTCAAGCTCTGTTTTCACTGGCAGAGGGCTGCAGGAGGGCATCACGGCTGAAAAAGGAGCTCGGGAGCCCATTTTCACTGGCAAAGCGTTTGAGCCAACTCAGGAGCCACCGATATGAGTGACGTCAAGCTGGCCACACCCACCCCGGCCCCTGAGGTCAAGCACAACTCTGATGCGGCCTTCATTAAAATTGAGTTTGACAGCCCTGACTTAGAGCTACAGAGTTAGTATCTGCCAAGTGTCCCATGGGTTATCAGCCTTGGTGCTCTCACTTCCTCTGCAGAAAATCAAATTGCTCCCTAACCGCAGTGAAATGCTTTATTCTGTAGTTTCTCTGCAGTTGTGAGTCACTTGGGGGCCTGTTATGAATAGTGAATTCATTTACTGAATGTTAATCAAAATGTGTGTGTGTTGGGCGGGTGGGTTGTCCACGTGTATGTGAATGTTTTAAAAGTGCAAATGAGCAGCTTTGTGGAACTCAGAGTTTTTAATTCCTCCCCTCCTGTTGAATTACATTTTTCCAACGCTCTGCACGAAATATTTACTGTCACTTAAGAGTAACATGAGAGTGGGTGAATCTGATGAGTATCATCCCATAATGCTTTTGAGCATTCTTATCTCTTCTGTTGTGTTTCTGTAGCAATCTAAAGGTTTTCTTGAAAAAAGCTCAAAACACTGTATTTAAAATGTCAGTTCCTCTCTCCCCTCCCCCCAAAATGTCATATTTAAGAGTTTTATCTCAAATAAAACTCATGCATAATTATGATGCATTTAAATCACTAAGACTTGTGTTGTTGGCATGGTTTTGTAGTTAACAGTGGGAAACTAGGACAGAGAAGAGGGTTCTAGGTTCAAACTGTACCTCAGCCCTCAAGCTCACTGGCTAAATTTAGATGTGTGTGGATTCATCCATTGTGCTAAGACGTGATATGGTATGTTTAATTTTAGCTTAGTATGATGTTACAGCATGTAACATATGGAGTGTATATATGCTTACTTCTCTTCTGTCACATTCTCATCATACGCTAAATAATAATAATAAATCCAATATATATGCTTAGAGTTCTATGGAACGCCCAAGCTTATGACTTAACAAATAATACTTAAAAAAACAACTAAGATTATTAATTCATAAGGCTACTAGGAGGATTAAAAATGGGGGAAGAAATATTTTGAAGGTTATCGTTGTTCTGTTCATTCATTCATTCATTTGTTCATTCATTCGTTTGTTCATCTATTCATTCATTCAATTTCTATAACCATCCAACTCAATCAATGATTCTGGGCGGCTTACAATACCGAAACAATAAAAACAATAAAAAGCATTTAAAAGCAATAGCAAAGGACTGACTCTTACAAAAAGCCAGCTTAGTTGGGGCGAGTAGATCCCTGAAGTTTAACATTCACCCTTACATGTCCAAAATGATATGGAAAATTCCTACACCAAGGGTAGAAGGACGTCGAAATTTGAAATAAGTAAATGCAAAGCTTTCAAAAGAATCCTATTATATTACAAGTCAGCCAGATATAATCTTTGCTTTTGCCAATAAACACAAAACTATAGAACAAAGGCTCTCATTAGTTTATTATGAATTCTCTTATGGTTTTCAAGGAGGGGAAAATATGCTTGGGAAAATCCAATTGAAAAGTTGTCCGTGTTATAGTTATTTCAACTCTGGCTGCAATTGTTGGATTAGATGGGTTAGATTGATAATCTTTTGTAACATTTTTACTAGATGCCAAAAAGAAGATTATAGTAACAAGTCATGTGGGATGATTTCTTGATCCAAATCTGCGTGTATTCACTTGATGGGAAATAGAAAAGTTTTTTCTGACCTCCAACCAGCGTCCCACCATACATCCAGGGCTCTTGGACATCAAAGATGGCATTTTGTAAAGCTTGTGATCATGATGATTGTTATCCATTCACTCTTGGCAATTCTATGGGCCAGGTCTCTCCACATCTTCTGATCTTGTTCTACTTCTTTGAGTTTTTCCATGCTATGCTGAAAAATTATGCCGAAAAGGTTACGTGGAGGCCAATTTCATGCTGTAATTTCTCTTTTATTCATGTGGCATAGTGATTGTACAGCATGGGTTTATGGGCATTGGATGGCATATCATTACAGGTAGTCCTCGGCTTACAACAGTTTGTTTAGTGACCGTTCAAAGTTGCAATGGCACTGAAAAATGTGACATAACTGTTTTTCAGAGTTATGATCTTTGCAGCAGCCTCATGATCATACAATCAAAATTCAGATGCTTGGCAACTGGTTCATATTTATGACCGTTGCTGTGTGCCAAGGTCATGTGGCCATCTTTTGCAACCTTCTGACAAGCAAAGTCAATGGGGAAGCCAGATTCACTTGACAATCAGATAACAGACCATCAGAGTTGGGAGGCACCTTGTAGTTCATCTAATCCAACCCCCTGCCCAAGCGAGAGACCCTACACCATTTCTGACAGATGGCAGTCCAATCTCTTCTTGAAAGTCTCAAGTGATGGCGCTCCCACAACTTCCGAGGGCAACTTATGTTCCATTGGTTGATTGTTCACACCGTCAGAAAGTTTCTCCTTATTTCCAGGTTGAATCTCTCTCCTTGTTCAGTTTCCATCCATTATTCCTCAATCTCTAGTAATCAGATTACTAACTTATCAACTACAGCGATTCACTTAACAAGCGTGGCAAGGAAGGTCGTAAAATGGGGCAAAAATCACTTAACAAATGTCTCACTTAATGGTAGAAATTTGGGGATGGTAAGTCAAGGACTACCGATTCACATTTTGAAATTGTCAGATCCATTTGTTAGTATCCAGTGACACTAAAGTGAGTTCGGCGAATTTATTTATTTATTTATTTATTAAATTTGTTTGCCACTCATCTCACTGCAAGGCAACTCTGGGGGATGGCGGAAAAGTTGGGTTGCTTTTTCTCCATTTTAGCACTTGCAAAATCATTAATTATTTGGAGACTAAAACATGGAGCTTCTGAAAGATTGGATAAAGTGAGTATCTCTGCAAATCAACAATATTTTATTCTTTTTCCTTCTTTCCCATTGGCTGCGCTTTGTGGATTCCCCCCCACTGGAAACCTGTAGAACTTCCAGCTGAAGAAGGTAAGCTTGATTCCTATTTGCAATCATTTGATTATCTCTTTATTTATTTAACTTCTGTGTGTCCCCCATCTTACCTAGGCGACTCTAGGCAGTTTACAATTATACAATATTTTAATAAAGAGGGGATGATTCATGGACTATGTGGGAGATGAAGAGAAAGTTGAGTTCAAATCAGAGGCCATCCATGAGCTTCTTTGGACTGACCTAGGGGTCATTGCTGTCTTTTAAATAATCTACAATGCCACTCATGGGATGAATAAAGTAATAATATTTAAGATACCCACCAGTGTGATCTGGATGGGAATGCTTCATGTAGTCAATCTGAGAGGATGATCATGTTTATCATGATATCACCAGTGTACTGATGATGACGCCTAGTTTGGGTAATGAAATATCTGCAAGAAAACAACCAAGCTCAGAGAGCACCAACGACTCATCATTTCATCCCCGAGCTACAAATATTCTCCTTGATTGGTATTCTGTTTATCATGAATTATATCTTTATATGGTGGGCATGATTACCATAAAACGAGTGGTTCTTGCACTAATGTCCCAAGTTGTGACAAAAGGGCCTACTATACTTTGTATTCCTCCATTGGTGTTACTCCTCTGCATAAAAAAATGAGACAACTAGTATTAGTGATTACATTATAGTTTTCTCCCTGACGTTTACATTATAGTTTTCATTACATTACATTATAGTTTTCTCCCTGATTTTTGCTGTGCCAGGATTTTTATTGGTGTTCATGTTGGATTAAATATATTTAAAAATACCATCCAAGAACAATGCCTTGCTTTTGAAGATCAAACATAAGTCTCTTATTGTCAGAGGGAGGTAGAAGCATATCTAAGTTTGCATTTCCCCCACTTTTTGACAGAATTAGTTTCATCTATAGTTTTTTTTTAATGCATCCTACTTTTTAAATAGATATCTAAGGGGTATTTCTAGGATAGAAACAAAAAAATGATAGCAGAATAAAATCTAATGTTCCATTGAGTCTGCCCTTTGTCTTTATAATGTCTTTTTAATTAAGTTTTTAATTGTTATTTTAAAATTTTATTAATCTTTGTTTAATTTTTTTATTTTTGTCGGATATGTGTTTATTCCAAGCATGTTCAGACAAAGTTACTGATAATTGAATCAGCAGCTGAAGTTGGTTCCAAGTTTTTGCCATTCTCTTTGTGAAGAAATACTTTCCAACAACACTTTTGAACTTCCCCTGTTTGAGGTTATGACCCCATGTTCTTGATTTTTACTTATTTTCTGCTGATTTTTTTTATTATTCTAACAAGAGATTTAAATTAACTTTGTAGGAAAATCACTTCTGGAGCTAATACTGGAGCAGTTTGAAGATCTCCTAGTACGCATCCTTCTCTTGGCTGCTTTTGTTTCCTTTGTAAGTATGGTTACCTCAGCTGAGATTTGTTTTATTTATTTATCAAATTTCTAGATGGCCCATCTCACTTGGGTGTCTATGTGGTTAATAGATCAAACAGTAAAATGATGTAATAGCTATAGTCAAAAGCAAAGTTTTAAAAACTAACAAATGAAGCTCTTCAAATGATTTCTTAGTAACTAAATGTTCAACTCACAGAACATGAGTACAAATACGGATGCTGACCTGGTGGACTCCTATCCAGGAGACAAATTGCTAATCTCACAGAAAAAGCTTGTTTTTTTCTAGTTGGCTTAGGAGTGAAATATCATAGCAGCACAGAAAATTGCCAGATATCAAGTCAGATTATAGTCCTCTAGCTCAGCCCCGTTTGTACAGATTTCTATGGCTGGACTGAGTGGAAACTTTTATTTTATTTATTTGTATCCCGCCTTTATTATTTTTACAAATAATTCAAGGTGGCAAACATATCCAACATACATTCCTTTTCCTATTTTCCCCACAGCAAGAGCCTTGTGAGAAAGGGTTGGGCTGAGAGAGAGTGACTGGCCCAAAGTAACCCAGTTGACTTTCATGCTTAAGGTGGGACTTGAACTCACAGTCTCCTACTTTCTATTCTGGTGCCTTAACTACTAGACCAAACTGGCTCTCAGCTCTATCCCTTTCAGAAGTTCTTAACATAGATATATTACGGGGAGAAGGTGGGGTGTCTTTGAACTCGGATTAAAACAAAATTAGTTTTCATTTGTAGCTGAAATTTAGCTTCTTGTTCAAAAATGTATATGGGCAACAATTTAATATATGGCTGCCGGACTTCAAAAAAAGATAGTACCCTTTAAAAATATAATGTGAGATTTCAGAAAATTTTTGAAGATTAATAAAGAAGCACAACTAATAATGTATGTGTCATTTTTGAATAATGATAGTTGTATTTGAATATGATAACTTTCCTCTACAAATATAAAACAATCTATATTTATGTATTTTATTTTATGTGTTTAAATTTAAAAACATTTTTTTTAGAAGAGACTATAGGTTTCACCAAATTCTCAAATACATGATACAAAAAAATTGAGAATCTTGGTTTTAATTGGATTTGCTGAGCAACCTCACATGTAAATAACCAAAATTTTGTTTAGATTAAGATAACCTTCTCATTTTTTTTTTACTTTGAGCACACTGGCCCACATTAAAAATGAAATTCTGTTGTCTGCTCTCAAAACAAAATATATTCTATACATACATAACATATATGCTACATACACGTGCACGGGGGGGGGGGGGGGGGGAAGGAAGGATAAATAACCTATCCTGAAAATATACATAGGCTGCAAGTTATAGAAAGTACGTGCCTCCAGTTTTTTGTTCTAACATTTCATATATCTCATAATAGCAACGGGAAATTCTGTTAACCACACAAGTACATAAGTAGACCTTATAAGCAGATCTCATTTAGTGACAAGCAGACAACGGAGGAAAAAGCAGAAATGGAGGCCAGGAAAAGAGGAAATTGCATGCACTGAATAATTTCAGTTATGTATTGTTGTGGGCAGAATGCCTGCTTAAATAAGAAATGAAAGTGTTTGGATAAAGTCGCATCAAAGTAGCTTTTACTGGCATGTATAGCTGTAGGGTGTCCTTGCCAGAGGACTGGAGAAAAGCCCCAAACCCTCAAAGTTTTCAGGTTAGGTACCCTGTTAAATGATGCAGAAGACTTAGAAATGTAATGTAAATTATAACATGATCTGATGCAAGATCTGAATACAACATGAGGTGACCTTACTGTGGGCTGATTCAGTGCCTCAGCATTCTGCTCTTCTCAAGATAGTCATCTGTTGGGGATGGAGTAATGAATCCTACAGTGTGCAGAGCATTGGAGATCTCGTAT